ATTTAAATCTAAAACTATTATGATTTGTGATCCTAGGTATGTCTTACATCAATACTGTTGCATCACTTCTCTCTCAATGTTTCCTCTTAAGTCTTGGCATTTAATTTGATTTTACGTTTTTAGCAGTACTGTAACAACCAATTTTTCGTTTCTTTGTTTTACTGTTTTGCAGAATTAAGACTCTGTCTTTTCTACTCATTGAACGTTCTTACTATTTAAAGGTGAAAATGGTAAATGCCCTTGAAAATAGTCAAATACCTAGATATTCATCTCATTTACATATGTTTTCACTTGTTATTGTAATGATCCTCAGTGCCAATATGATTCAGAAAGTAACTGAAGTGTTATAAGTTATGTTGTGATACTGACTTAGTGACAAAGTGGAGTGTTCTCCCTCTTACAGGAGTTCCTCATTTTTTTGTCAAAGTCATTTGGATTGTGTCCTTGTGAAAATAATGTTTTGTTCTATTGTTAATAAAAGGGCACTATTTGCTGTTTTTTTAAATAATATTCCTTCCTCATTCCTTTTTTTATCTCAGTATGGGGAGAACATTTCTTTCATGCTGCTCAAGCTCAACACTTTTAAAATTAATAAAAATTAGACCACTCAAATAAATGCGCTCATCAAATCGGCGCTACTACTATCTTTAGCCAAACTTTGTAGTTTGAGCAAGAGAGTTGAAGTGGCCATAACAGTACCAGCCGGCCTCCTATACGCGCCTGCGAACTCCAGCATAGGCAACGCCCAGCGGGCTGCGCACCAGTGCGTGTGCGTTGCCTACTCTCCAGGCGCCTACGCGCCTGCGAACTCCAGCATAGGCAACGCCCAGCGGGCTGCGCACCAGTGCGTGTGCGTTGCCTACTCTCCAGGCGCCTACGCGCCTGCGAACTCCAGCATAGGCAACATTCGGGTCTCCGCGCAGCCGTGCGTGGGTGTTGCCTACCCGCCAGGCGTCTTCGGCTGCCGGGGGCGCTCGCTCTTTCTCGCTCTTTAACTGTTAAATCCCTATAAACCAATGAAAGATTTGGGGGTGGGAAAAGGGCAAGGCGCGCTGGCACTTAGAAAACGATTTTTGGAAAATGATGGCGCCGAGAATGAAAAAAAAAATGATACTACTGGTAAAAAATTTGGCATCACCAAGATTTCATTTTTGTTTGAAAAAAAAATCGGACAACTCAATGCTTATGGGACTCAAATGAATGCTGGGATGTGACTATGATAGAAATAGCTCGTTGTCCAAACAGTATGTTGTAGATGCGGGATAACACAAAAACTAGCAACACGCATCTCTCGTAGGGACGCTGACCGTTGCCGACGGTCCGGCGACCAGGTGCATCGTCGATGGCCGCTTGTAACCATGGTCAAGAAAGACATTTTTGCCGAGCTCTGGACTTAGTGTGGGGAGTTTCGTGAGCGAACGGACGGAAAGGACACTGACCTCGACGTACTCGTGTGTCTCCCGGTATTAATGGTTTCATGCTTGCTAAACTTTATTGCTAAGGGCGGTTCGCTGCACGTTCACCGCCGAGGGTCCATCCAGGAGGGAGCGTCACTTGCCAGGCAGCGGGGCCGGAGTGTCGCAGGCCGGTTGAAGGCCCGCAGAGTCCATGGCGCCCCATCCTCCACGCTCACCAGCCCCCACTGGCCGTGGTTATCTCACTCACGTCTGCGTCTCTCTCGAGGTGAGCCTCGTTAGCGCATCACTGCCTCGATCTCTTGAACTCCAAGGTGTAGTTGACGCAGGCGTACTCACGGGCGTCGTTGTCAAACAGAGTGAGCGTTACGATCCAGATCACGTTATCCAGCGGTATACCGAATTGGGCGAGCGCTTCGGGAGAGACTCCTGCGTCGCGAAAAGAGTAGTTACCCTGCAGAGAAGAACGCGCCGGATTGTTTTATTCGCGGTTTATTCGTATTACCTAATTACATCCAGTCAGGATAGTTAATTCGCAGATAGCTTACAGCTTTGATGGGGCAATATATCGACGGTGTTATCGAAGTAACCCAAGGAGTCCATGGCATTTTGGAAGCTCGCATCAGGGTACAGGGGCTGACTTCAAACTTCCACGTGTCGAAATACTCGCACGTGTTGTAGGAGATGGTGGAGTCGGAGCACCGGACAATTTTGAACGCAATCTGTTTGCAGCAGTATCACGTGTAAGAATTTTAATTTTCCGAAAATGCATCATCTCTCGGAAATTTGTCTGGGAAAATTTCTATTTTTCCTGCAATTATTTGGAATTTAAAATCCCTAATTGGTTGGAATTGATCACTACAGTTGACCCGAAACCAACTGGGAGTTGCGAGTCAGGACGCTCAAGCCGGGAGTGACGCGGGTATCCGAATGAAAACCCTGGGAACCAGGCTGACCGAGGCTCACCCTGCGGAGGCTCTTGGCCGGCCTCGAGAGTCCAAAGTCGGCGTTGCAGAGGCGCGAAGATCCCTTGGGGCTGAACCAGACCTTGGACCACGACACGGCGTTGGCGCCCTGATTGCACGCGCTCCCGTCCAGCATGTACAGCACTAGTGGCGACTTGTTCCTCTTGCTGCTGCCAGCCGCCTGTGCATCTCAACAAGTTGATTATTTTAACTGAAAAACTAAAATTATACATTTGAAAGTATTTAAATTGCAGAACCTAATAGAAGTGCTTTTGGAAAATTGAAATATGTCTCAAAATTTGACGTTAACATTTTTGGGGTAAAGTGACAGCAGCTTTTTTGTTGAAGAAAAGCATGCAAAGCAGTCAAAAGAGTTTCGTTATCTAAGTTCAAACTAGGTTCAAGTTCAGATAAAATTTGCGTTTAGGTTTAAACTAGCCTAAAACTTGATTCGAGTTGAAATTAAGTTAAAATGTCATACTCTTTTTTTTTTTTTTTTTTTTTTTTTTGGATCTTGTCAACATGTCATAAAGACGACACATAACTTTTACGAGGCCTATTGCCCATGCGATACTATATATACGCGACGAGCACAGCAATCGGTGTCTCACTAACATCGCCGACGAGCCACACGTCGCACAGCACGATGAGGATGAAACACGCCCGCAGCGGTGCTCGTCTGGGCCTCATGGGGCGCAGGGGATGCGGCTGCTGCTGCCGCAGGCACTGATTCAAAGGCTGCCGTGCCAACTAGGCCTCGCCAATATGGCGTGTAGCGTGCGGTCCTCATTGCGAACACCGTGTTTGGGCGCGGACACGCCACCGATCTCTACTTGTGTCAACCGGTGTTTAGCGAAGTTGATCGTGTGAATGTGGTGTGTGTCAGCGCGACCAGAGTACGTCAGCCACCGACACCGACCGCCGTCATGTGATCGAGGGGTCCGCAAGTACGGTCTGCCGGTGTACACATGTGGTGGGCTTCCTAGTTTTGTAGTTTTCTTAGGTTTTCCTAATGTTTTCCCGGTCTTCCCAACTTTTTATTGGTTTTCCAAATATCTTGGTTTTCTGATATTTTATGAAGGCTTCCCCCAGTTTTCTCGCATTTTCATCGGTCTTCCCTTACATTTTCTGGTCTTTCTTGCAATTTCTAGGTCTTTCCTAAAGTTTTTCCGGTCTTCCCTTATATTTTTCGGTTTTTCGTCACATTTGTGGCCTACGATTTTATTGGTCTTCTTCGATTTTCTTTAGTCTTCCTGGTGGTCTTCCCGGTCTTTCCAGTTTTCCGGGCGGCCAGTGTACGCGCTCGAACCTAGTTGCGGACCCCTCGCATG